ACCATCTTGTGCAAAGACTTTCTCTCCTACCCATTCATATAGGCAATCAAATCTAAACAGAATAAATACTTTTATAAGGAATAAAACTTCAGATGAACCAGAGAGGTGTGCAAGATGGTCGGTGAAAAAGACTTTAGAAGATCTTGCCTCATGAGTTTCTCTTACTCAGCTAAGGAAAGCAAACTTTGTAGCAGTCCTAGATCAGTAGTATGTGATCACAAAAATTAATTTCACCAAAAACAACCCTTAGTCAGCTCACAGCTCAAGTTGACAATTATTGCCAGCCTCCAGACCTTAATTTTTCACTCAGCCTAATTATGAGACTGCTCTTTTTCCTACCACAACTTGACTTTCTTAGTATGGCTTACTTCAATCACCATCTTAGGGAAAAGAACAAAAAGTTCAAGTACACTGCAATCTTTTGTGAACAGCTTAGGCTGTTTTCTACTCTACCAACAATCCCTGACAGCAATACCTGTCATGAATACATGTTTAAGAAGTGAAGAATAATAGTTTACAGATTAATGATCAAGGCAAAGCTGTAAAGACTACTATTGTGCTAGTGTTTCAGTACAAATAATTGGTTTTAAGACTTTCTCTACACATCTAAATTAAATTACACATACATAGTGCCAGTTTTTGCTACAGAGGACTCTGCCTATCTACTGAAGAAAAATTCAGTGCCTGCTATTGCTTCAGAGCACTTAACGCATGGGCAGGAGGTAACTTCTGAGCAGCCCAAGCAGCTCCCAGATGCTGGTACAGAAAGAAGGTCAAGCATGGAAACCTTCAGAAGAAAAGATCAGGTACTACACTTTGATAGTCACAATGGCAAAACATGTATTTCAATCTTGATATTCAGTAACAGCCTCAAGCCTATAAGCTAACAGCTCTAAGCTACAGGAACAAAACAAAACAAACAAACAAAAAAAAAAAAACAAACCAAGCAAACTCAAAGGAGAACAAGAGTATAGAAGTTTTCAAATAAACTAAAGATGCAAATTCAGATATACTGTCCTTATGCAGAGCAAGGCTCCAGCTCACAAAGATGTTTTGAATTGTCACTAAATTCATCACAGAACTGGAATATTTTTCATACTTTTCATACCATACTTCTCAGGAGAAAAATAATAGAGATCGTGAGATTCATCTGTAACAAGATTACTAAATATTACTTAACCAGCTATTAAGTCACAGGAAATATGCAGAACCTCTTTTCAGCTTGTTTCATAGTTTCCAAGAAAACAAAACAGATATTATGAACCAGAAGTCCAAGAAGGGTATTTTTATCAGTACTTTTCAAGCAGTCACGTTTTGGGAAAAGAAACAAACTTATCAAGAATGATTATTTATATTGAAATATAAAATTATTTCTCCTCCTCTACTTCATAACCTGAGAACAAAAGGTGGGTGCTATTGTGAAATGTCACATATTGCTCTGTTTTACTGGGTAACAAAACCTTAGCCCATCTTTCGCTCTTAGAAGACTTAATCAGAAATAATAGTAACATTTTAGACAGGTTTCTAAAGAGCAGTACCAATAACTCTTCCATCAGAATTCCCTAAGTAACTAAATAATTCATTTTCTGGATATTGAACAGTTTGCAGCCTCAAATATTGAAGCCAGTCCTCATTTCACATACCAACAAGAAATAATTTTGGATGTTACAGAACCTTACAAGATCCTAGATTCCCAGCTTAGTACTACATACCCCAAATTCTTTACAGGCCCTTACTTTGAGGATGCAGTATACTGTTTAACAATAGTGTGAAGGTCTTAACACTTAATAAATTCTAGGTAAACTTCCCAAAATTATACTGAATAGTATTGCAAAACTGAGGGGGGGAGGGGGGTGTGTTGTATATGTGAAGGGGATGGGGACACCATTAGAAAAGTGTTCAAGTGTCAAATATTACATCACAAACATCTCTTCATTAAAAAGACCAAACATGGTGGCACCTCCAACACATTAATTGACCAATGAATTAGCAACATGACAATATATTTTAGTAGACTGTAAAGGACCTGAACAATACTGCAATTCAAATGCCTACTTAGCGATTTCTAATGCAACTGATAAAAGGTGGCAAGATGCAGTCAGATGCTACTGCAACTAACCAGTTTTGGAAGAAAGAATATACCAATGAAATTTGGTTCCCTTCAGAGTGCTCTATAGCATTACCTTTGGGCACTAAAGACTTGAATTATTCTGTCAGAAGAGATGAAGCTCATTAGTACCTAGAACCGTACCACCTGTTTTGAGTGCTGAACACTACAAAATCGAGTTATAATTTTTTTCTTCTTTGGAACAAGGACACCAAAATATCAGAGAAAGAGAGCAAGACTTAGCAGAAGGTGCTTAGTACCTAACTTCCACTTTAAAAGTAGCTGAAGAGCTTTCTACAATCTCTTACTTAGCAACCACCTGAGCAAATTTTTGTTTCAGTTCACAAGCCATATGAAACCAGCTATCCCTTTGATTTCCAGTGAATTATGCTGCAAAGACTGCAGTATTAGACTATAGGCTTTCAAGCACCTTTAAACCGTCTTTGATGCATTCCCCTCTGCAGCAGGAACTACAGTTTTCTGAGCAAGCACACAAGCAATACTGCAGAATATTAGTCTCAATTCCCACCACTTAGCAGAAAACTAAATATCTTAGTTGTACTATCCTGCAAGCTACTGAAATTGTTCTGTATAACAACTCAGATTCCTAGTTGATTTTATGTCTCTTACTGTCCTTTTAATGTCATAAAAAGGGTAATCCACTGCCTGGGACTAGAATTTTCTTAGTAGTTCAGAAATCAAAAGAATATTAAATTAAAGAATAGCTCATTTTATTTTTTTAATCAAAAGCAAGAAAAAGATAAAACATATAAATAGATACACTTACATTTGTACATACATAAAAAATAAAATCCTCAAACACTGCAGTAGTCTCAGCATAAAAGAAAACACTAACATAGATTTGCATATTATTGACAAGTTTATTTCATAGGACTTGGTACTAGACACTTCTTTCGCAAGGATGCTAATCACAAACCTCCAGAGATACAGCATGAAGCAAGAGTTTTCAAGTGTTCTCCATGATCATGGAAGACTTAGTAATTTTAATAGTATTTATTGCAAATTAAGGAACTTTTACGTGTGACCGACATGTTTTATTAGTATATGTTAGAAAAAAAATACCCTTACGCTTACTTTGTTGCACAAGGGACAACACCATTGAAGCAAGCGATAAGGGATTATGAAACATGTGTTTTAGGGAGATCTAAGAACTTTTGTTCATCTAACTAACATACCTGGAAAAGGGGAAAAGGAAAAAGATCTGATTTCCAACATGTGTCCTCTCTTATATGCAATCTGGTTCTTCACAGGTAAAATACATGGGCAGAATTAACAGCTAAACTCTGGCAATCCTTTCAATGGAACACTTCAAGGCAGAGACCTATTCTAATCCTCTCCCCTGAAGACCATATCTGTGCACAGCAAGCCAAATTTATGTGAAAATAGTAGAAATAGGGGTGTCATGATAGTTTTTATTGTAATTTGTTAACATTCCCCACTGTTTTCATATGGTGCTGTAATGCATTTATTTGGCTAGCAGAACTCAGGTCCCTTTCCCAAAAGCACCATCTGCTATTCCCTTAAGTCGGAAAATAAACAAAAAAAATGTCCCCTTATCTGAAGGAATCTGTAAACTAAGTCTTAGCATCAAAAAAGTTAGATATTTTGTAAAAAATTAAGCCGAGTGTTCACACTGGATTGTATACAGACTGTAGCAAACAATTATTTTTTTAGTAATCAACTTCTGCAGACAACCGAGCCAGAGAACAAAACAACATGGCTGCATCATTTAGCCTGGATACAGTCCTGTTTCAGAGCTATCTTATCATCTAACCAGTTAGACTTAAGACAGCGCATTACCAATTAATACTTATTTCAAGTAGGTCAGAGTAAAAAAGCATGCAGCCATCGAACTGTGGGACAGCTACACACGGCACAGCGGGCTCTTATTGATTCCCCACACCATAATTTACAGGGAATGCATTATTTTCTGTGGTTTCAAGAAATAAAAGCTCTTTTAAACGGGATTTTCATGCTCCAGTACTACAAAAGAGAATAAAATGGAAGCACTCCGAAACGTGTGTTTACATCCGTACGGATGGACCCGAACAGCCACCACATCTCAAGACGCTGTTTCGCCCATCCACACACGCACGTACACAGAGTTTATAAGAACACCCTGCAGTAACTATGATGCTTTACATACGGGGAACAGTTCGGTTGGAACTTTTCGTCGCAACAGCCCCGACCAAGTCTCTACCGCAGCCCCACTGAGAGGTCGTTTCTCACCGCGCTACGCGGAGCGCGGCGGCACGCCGAGCCGCCCCGGGACCCCCCGCCGATCGCCCCGGCCCGGCGACCGGGACCCCCCGCCACCACCTGCGCCAGAGCCACCCCGGGGCCGGGCCGGGGAGGGCGCGGAGGGGGCAGGCCCACCGGATCCAAGCCGTCCCCCGTCTGCGCGACCGCCGGGGCCTCCCCACCCCCACCCCCCCAAAAAAAAAAAAACAAAAAACAAAAAAACAAAACACCGCGCCCCTGTGGGGGGGTAGTGCTGGTGGTGTGTGCGTGTCCTCCCGCAACGACTTGAGTTTTCGGGGTTTCATTTTCCCAAAGAAAGTTGCAACGGCGGCGAGAGGCCCGGCGCCGCTGGCGGTATCGCCCCCACCCGCCTCCCTCAGTCCCCGGGGCGACTCGGCAGCCCCCACGTCCCGCCACCGAGGGGAGGGGAACGGCGCCCTGGGGCGGCCGCAGCCTGAGGGAGAAGGGACGCCGCCGCTTCCCGCCTGGCGGCTGGGCAGGCGGCAGCCCCCCCCTCTCGCCTTACCCAAAGGAAAACAGGAAGCCGAAGCCCCCCCTCCGCCCGTTCCCCGGCCCCGGCCCCGGCCCGGCGGGAAGGGAGCGGCCGCGACCCGACTGCGGCGGAGCGCACCTGCAGGCCCCAGCGGCGGCCCGGGGCCGGGCTGCCCGTCCTCCCCGAAGATCAGCCTGAAGTCGAACTCGTCGGTGGCGCCGCAGTTTGCCGTAGTCATGGGTTTGGCCGACGAAGCGAAGCGAGACCCCGTCGCCCTGCCGGGCCGCGCCGGGCTCCCCGCCGGGCTGCGCTGGCCGCCGCCGCCGCCCCTCAGGGCCGCCTCATAACACCGGATGGCGCCGGAGGGGGGCGGGAGCGCGCGGGGAGGCGGTGGCGCGAGCGGTGCCTTTGGCCCCAGCGCGAGCTCCCGTGTCCGGGCGCCTTCTGTCACTCAGGGGCGGGGGCGCCTACTACGGGCCCCGCCCCCGCCCCGCGCGCCCGCCGGCCGGCCCCGCCCCACCCTGTCCCGCGCCGGCGTTTCCCACAGTTGGGTCTCTCTCTCTCTCTCTCACGCGGTGACATCAGCGACGCCTCGTGACCCGCCCCCCTCGACGCCCCGGAGGGAAGGAGGGGAGGAGTGCCTCGCGGCAGAGTCTCACGTGGCACGGCTCTCCGCGCCACGTCACGCGCCGCGTCGCGCGGGCTGCCGGGGGTTGTAGTTGGTTGGCCAGCCCGCGGCGGTGGGCGACCAATCCGCGAGAGCCAGCCGGGCCCAAAGGGGCGGGGCGGGCGCGGGTGCCACGTGTCGGCGCGCGGGGGCCGCCGGGGCCCGGCCCGCACTCCGCGGCAGTTCCGCGGCAGTTCCGCGGCGGGGCCTTTGGCTCCGGGCAGCAGCAGGCTGAGGTAACTGCCGCTGGCTGAAGGACTCCGCGCTGTTAGCACTTACTCTTCCAGGCTTCTTGGAGACGGTGGCGGGGAATCAAGTGTAACGAGACCAATGAAAATACTTCGTAGCCACGTATGGCACCGATGAAGGGAGCCGAGCAGTCATTAAGAAGAGAACAGAAGTTTCAGAATACTCTGCCTGCACAATAACGTACCATCACCTATTGTTTTGCTTCGCATTAAGGTTGAAAGACAAATAAAAGGGGAAAAGAAAATGAGTTGAAGTTGCTCTCGTAGGAGAAGCATCTCTTCAGAGCAGTCGATGGCAGTGTCAAGGCCATAATTGGCCTGATGCATCTGGAATTTGCAGTCTGGGAAATCCTAGAGCAACTTAATGAAACCACCGCTGGGTGCTGTGGAATTACGGCGGGGTTAATCCTCAGTAGATGTGATCAAGGAAGATTTTAGGTTTGTGTTGAAACTTGGGCATTGATTGTGGTTAAACTGTCACTCACAGCCAGTCACATTTGCTTACAGATAGTTAAGTGATATTTACGGTTTTATTTATGTTACAAACTCTGAAACTCATTAACTGGAAATATTGCTATATCTTTTTAAAGGGCCGGGTTTCATTACTTAGTTGAAAAATTAACTAGAGTTAGCGTGTCATGACTCTCATGCCATATGGAAAATATAGGTTTATCTGTTAATATTATTTATTCATAAATAAATTGTTTCTACACACAGGGTCTTTTTGTGTCTGTTGCTGTTTAGATGGCTCCAAACAGGCATGGCACAATTCCATGCATGCGTTTGTATCGAGATGTTCTCTTTACAGACTGTGAATGGAAGTGAGAAAAGAAGGCTAGCATGAAGAGAACTTGGCTAAAGTTACATTGTGACCTTGCAATTCTGCTGGAAACAGAAAGCATCATTAAAATGAATATGCAGAACGTGGGACAGGAAGAGTTTGGCCAAGTGAAAATGGTAAGCTGCTTCTAGTGCCCAGAATACAAAGCAGCTATATGTTTATATTTTACTTAATTTTCTAATGTACCATCCTTTCTGTTGTCACTTCCCACAGCACTAGCTCTTTCTTTACCTAAAATCCATGAGCAACTACTCTTCCTACAATACTTAATCCAAAGGTTGATGCTCTTGTTAGGGTAGCCAACTCCTTCTTGTGAAGGAAGCCCGAACTTTTATAAGCAGCTCACACCCAGTTGGCCTGTAGCCTCTTTTTACCTCTAAATCCAAGGTCATGTAGCAAGACAAGCTGGAAAAGAATGTGTAATTGGATTAACCACGGTTACAAAAAACCCTCATGCATTCTTGAATGAAAACGGGTCTATGATGAATGATTCAGTAAAACATACTATATATAAAATGGCTCTTAGCTGCTAATTTTTGTCTAAAACCTTTTGCATAATCTTTTGCATTTTCAAGGCAGATAGATTAGAATTTGTGTTACTGTTAAATAAGTGTTGTGTCAGATTACAGCACGTGGAGTAACCATAGCAGTTTCCTGTTCTGCTATACCAGCAGATTATTCATTATGCATGTCCCTGGAGAAAAATACAACCAAACTTGTTCTCTCCATAAAGTGAAATTGGAACACATGCAAACAAGTATTTGATCCATGTTCTTTGATAAAATGCTCAGAGTATATTTCTAATGAATATACAAAATTTAAAGTATGTATATGATTGTCTTGTTGCTTCCCCTTAACTGTAAACCAAATCTTTTCTCCCATGTCTGAGGCAATATTCATTCAGAAAAGTATGATGCATGCAGGTCATTAGGCAGTGCTTTTAGTCCTGCCTACAGCTGTCAAATAAAAAGGACTAGATATCCTAAAAGTAATTAGTTATGACTATCTAGCTAACAAGAATTTACAGAATATGTAAAGGTGGCATTGTAAGCAATTAATAATAGTTATTTACAGTAATCTTTATAAAGCTTTTTACATCAAAATCAGATATATCTCTGATTTCACAACTTGCATTTCTTGCCAGCAATATCCTTTTTGTGTTGTCTTCACCATATTTTTCATTTTGCTATCTCTGTCTTACTGCACCAAAATGCACATCCTTTCTGCGTTTGAATTAGTAAAATGAAAAACACCTTCAAACCCTCTCTATACAGCTAAAAAGTTATTGGGGTGTGACTGAGAGTGAGTTGGCAGAAGCCCTAAAATGACTGACGTGGGCTTACATCAATTGCCAGGGACTTATGTCAACTTCTGCGCCTGAGGTCCACGGCATTCACGGCTGATTTGGCTTTTGTTTTCTGTTGAGAGATGAAATGGTGGCAGTAACGAGGGCAACTTAATTTCACTTGTGGTTTTGTGAGGAGGGGGTGCTTTTATTTATTCCTTTATTTAACATGCGTAGGTGGTTTCTGTCCTTGCTGCTTTTAGGCTGTGTTATTGCATCCAGATGGGGATACACCTTGATCTGGTCAGAAGCTGGAGTTATTGCATGTGCCTTGAGAAGGAAGGAACGCGCTTCCTGTGGTATTTGAATCCTTTCCAAAGTGGGGCTATTTTCTAGGCGTGTTGTGACTTTCGGCTCCAAAACCTTAAGGGCTACATTGTGCTGTTTTATTTTCCACACATCATCCTATGCTGGATAGCTAGGAATTCTGGATCTGCAGCCACATCCCAGATCTGTATTTGTCTTGGAGTAATAGGGATTCCTCCCCCCTTCCTCTGGGCAGCAAATCAAACCCAGCTGTGCAATTGTAGCCAGAATAGGCTTTGGAAGAAGCATGGTCAGGCATTCGTTCTGCATGATTCAATAAACCAAACAGCCTCAAATTAAGAATATAACGCATAAGGTTATATTTCATGTGCTTGATCTTGTTCCCGTTTGTGGTTGAATCTGGACCCGTTCAGAAGCCACACACACCAGTGTGGCATAGAAAGGGCAGATGAGGAAGCAGAGAGAATGACTCCTGGAATCAGCAGATAGGGTTCCTTGGCTGCTTCTATGGTTATGCCTTTTCCAGCTGCTATTGAAAAAAGCATGAGCACAAGGAAAATTTTTTGACCGCTGTGAATGTATACTGACACACTTAAACTCATTTGCAAATGGCATACAAACAAAATTATCACAGCCTTTATGTCTCTTACAGCTAACAAGGCACATCCATTTTATAAGCATGCAGAATGGTGTTATGAAAGATACTATTTCAGTATAGAGGCTACGTACAAGACAGTTAAATTCAGCAGTCCTATAGGAAAGGGGCTTGCATTCTGCACAGAAGGTCATAGGTTATTTATATTTAATATGTGACATCTGGCATTTTAAAATAATTTCCTTGGCTAATTACCAGTGCCTGGGTGAAATGTGAAACTTCGGCCGTTGGGGAATTAAAAGGAAAACAAAAACAAAAGGAGCTTGCATAGCATTGGAAAGTTTTGTCGGAAGATTCGGAGTTGTCTTAATTCAGGCATTAGAATACACGGTAACAGGAAATAGAGTAAAAGGGAGTAATTTGACTGAACTTGGATAAATTTAAAGTTTTCAGTGAAAATCCACAGCCATCCTTTTAAGACGACTCCCTGTGCCATGACGGTTAATCACAGCACTCCTATCTAGATCTTGTGCTCAGAACTTGATCAATGGGGCATTTGTAATAACAAGATTACAAAGTAAAAAAAAAAAAAAAAAATTGCCTACAAGGTGTGTGTTGACAAAAACATACCAACATAAAAACTTAACGAGGTCACAGTCTCACTTAAGCATTTTACAGTTTTCCCCAAGAAGTTTCATCACCCTCCTAAACTTACTGCAGTCATATTAGTACACTTTAATATATTTTTCTTCTATATATTTTTACATTAAACAATCATTGCTTTGCTTTATTGTTTGTTTAACATTTTGCTGTGCAAAGCAGACATTACTTCATAAAGTTTGCTGCTGCTGTATATTTCTATAGTTTTATGGAGCAGGTTGGAATCCTCCCATTTGGAGGTTACCATCTTACATGTTAAAAGACTAGAGGGTCTAGAAACCTGGCACTTAACCGCAGGGCTCTCTTCACAGACTTTATATTCATAGTATTTTGATCTCAGATCATCAAGTGAAAGCAAAGTAAATTTATCATCTGCATTATTACTGATATCAATATATAAGGACACTCCAGGCATGAGTATTTGCTTCTGAAATTATTGCTTTTACAGATACCTTAGAGTCTTATTACAAAGCCCAAAGTGGTTTGTGAGTGAAATCAGATGACAAGCGAGATCGCTACCCCAACAAGAACAAACTCCTTTAATGCACAGTGATGTTTGCATAAGATAAATATTTGTGGAAACTCAAATGAGGTTTCATAAAAGCCCTCAGGCTTGATACCAAACTAAGGTGGCATTTTACTTACTTTTCCATATTTTAACTTTAATTTTTGACTGTTCATTAACCAGAAGACACTCCTCTTGTACAGGACTGGGATATAAAAAACACAGGTTCTGTTCCAAGCTTCCAATTTCTTGTAGTCTAATTTTCAGACTTTCTCAAAGTGGCACAAGTAACTTGCTATTTATATGGACACTTAAAACACTACCTTAGTTTCCCTCTAAGGTGAAGATAATACAGCTTCTGTTGTACTTTTTACTTAGGTTGCAAATGCCTCT